GGCTGGAATTATTGATCCTCCTTCCTCCGCCTCCCAGAGTGCCGGGATTATAGGTGGGCACCACGACACCTGGTTAGGGAAGATTTTAGTAGACTGTGTGAGGGGAGGTACTTTGGGTATCACAGAGTGACAGGAAGGAGAAGACAGGAGGCGGCGTCCCAGGACAGGAGACTGGAAGAGCTGCAGTGGGAACTGGAGGCAGGGACAGCCATGTGTAGGTCTGGTGCACTGGGGAGAGTCCTGTCTGACGGCCTCAGTTTCTCTGTTAGGAGCAAGACAGCGGGGGCTGGAGGAAGGCGGTGAGGAGTGGTGTTGGAGACAACTTCTGGGCAAGGGGCGGGCAAGCCGGTCAGAGGAGAGGGCGGGGGTCAGCATGGAGCTGGCAGGCAGGAGGGCCTGGACGAGGAGGAGGGTGGGCGCTGTGGGTCTGTGATGGTGGGCTCAGGTGTGTGCCAGTGAGGGTGTGGGGTAGGACGGTCCAGAGGAGGTGGTGGATGGGGGTGGGGTGGGGACACCAGGCTTGCTGTAGGGACAGTGGGACTGAAAGGCTTCGGCTGCTAGGAAACCTGGAGGTGGGGGTCAGGGGCTGATGGGAGGGGGTGCCTCGAACCCCTCCTATCTCAGAGTCCGTGGTGCGAGGGACAGGACGCCTGCTTTGGAGAGGTGTGGGCGGCCTCTGGGGCAAGCTGTCGTGCGTTGGGAGATGAAGACAAGGGGTCCTGGGGAGGAAGGGGCTGCGGGATGTGTGGGGTGGGGGAGCTGTATGTGTGTGGGGCAGGGAGGTGCCCTGGGTCTGAGGGCCTTGGGGCCCCAGTCCTGGCCCTGTCAGTCAGTGCTTACAGGACGGGGTGAGGAGACTCTGCCGGGCCACCCAGGACCCCAGCCGTGTGAGTTCAGAGTGGGGTTGGCTCTCCCAGGCCGGGCTGTGGCCCCCAGCAGCCCCCATCTTTATATCCTGTTCTGCTCAGCTCCTGATGCACCAGGTCACTTTGGAGGAGTTCTGACCCTTGTGAATGTCAGCGGGCCTCAGTTTCCTTATCTGCACGGTGGTAACAACCCCTCCATGCCAGCGTCCTCTGGTTCCTGGAACAGAGATCAAATCTCAGTCTGAGTCACGCATGTGGTGTGACAGGCCTGGCCCAGACCTCCTGGGTTCTCAGCCCCAGGCCTCCAGTCATGCTGTATGAGAAGTGGCTGAGGGCTGGGGATTTAGCTCAGCGGCAAAAGCGCCTGCCTGGCAAGTGCAAGGTCGTGAGTTCGGTTCCCGGTACCGGAGAAAAACCAAACCAAACCAAACCAAAACAAAACAAAACAAAAAAAGAAGTGGCTGAGGAGGGCTACCCCTCCATCCTCTGTATCTGCCAAGTAGTCTTCAAACTAGCGATGGATCTTAAAGATAAGAGAGTATTTCCTGGGAAAGGGGCTGTCAGACAGTCACACCATAATGAGAAGTAGCTGGCTTAATTATTTGCAAGGAAAAATAAGTTTTGACTTTCTGTCTGCAGTCCTGGGGATGGAACCCAGGGCCTCAGATGCCAGGTGAGTGGTGTCCCTCTGAGCCACATCCTCAGCCTGGAAAATAGGCTCTCACAGAAGGAAGGGTTTGTTTTTTGTTTTTTGGTTTTTTTCCAGTACTGGGAATCAAACTCATGACCTTGTGCTTGCCAGGCAGGCACTGTGCCTCTGAGCTAAATCCCCAGCCCCTGGGAGGGTTTGAGCAGGGTGTATTGGTGCATGCCTGCAATCCCAGCACTCGGGGGGCTGAGGCAGGAGGATCACTGAGAGTTTGAGACCAGCCTG